ACTGATACCCATCTTAATAAATTTAATATAATTCGAATTTAATATTTAAAACAGGTGGCAACCCTTTTTAAAAACCACAAAAATAGTCAGGATGCTAAAAGTAAAGCTCTGAACTCACTTTTGCTTGACACCCATGTTTTATTATTTCACATACCTTAGTAACTTCTGCATAATTTAATTACTTTCGATTGTTAAATTAGGTGACAACCCTCATTAAAATATTTCCAAACTAAAACCTCTCTCGCCCGACACCTATACTGTGATGCATATTTCACTTATCTAATTTCCATAATTGAAATTGAATTTAATTTTTTTTATGAATAGGTGGCAACCCCCTTGTATGTAATAAAAATATAAAAACCTTTTCAAAACCATTTAGCTTGATACCCATATTGTACTAATTAATTTATTTATGTTTAAAACTTTTAAATCAATTTTTTAAACGGTGGCAACTCTTTTCGAAAAAGTAAAATCTTATAGCACTTCTACAGCGCGAGCCCTTTCATTTGACACCTCATTTTTTAAAATCGAATGAACAGTGCAGATCTGGTGACCTGGACAAAAAATCCCTTCACGTATTATATATGTACATATACAGATAATTAAACAAATTCATGCTTATATGCATACACATGTAGATTTTAATATTATATTTTCTAATCGTCTACCTGGTACTGTGATCAAGAAAGAAAGAATAAATGAAAAATTATGCGTTATTCAGTATTACTTGAATCATGAATAAAAAATTATTCTTCATTCGAAATTACTTGAATGAAGAATAAAAATTTATTCATTATTCGAAATTACTTGAATGAAGAATAAAAATTTATTCATTATTCGAAAGTGCTTGAATGAAGAATAAAAATTTATTCATCATTCGAAAGTGTTTGAATAAAGAATAAAAATTTATTCATCATTCGAAAATGTTTGAATAAAGAATAAAAATTTATTCGTCATTCAAAATTTTTGAAATGATGAATGAAAATTTATTCTTATTTTTTTTTTATTCAATTATTCATTTTCTTGATTTCGCCCATCCCTGGTCTACAGTCATGCAAAATATGGCGTATGAGTAACTTATTTTCTGCTTCCATTTCTTACAAAACGTTAAAGCACATTTTTATTTGTCCATGTCAAACTTGCTTATTTATCAATAGATTTTCATCGTTACTAGCTTGATTTTTTGGAAAAATAACAGGCTTTAGTACAAATAAAAATCTACAAAAGGGTTGATATTTTCTTAATTCTTTACTTGTTATAAGTCGATTTTTTTTTTGTATAAAAATGAAAATATTTCCGAAAATCACGTGATTTGGGAAAACGGTATAAAGATCCGTAATATACGACCCAATATTAAGTTTACGTATTTCGGCATTTTCTTGTGTCATTTCAAAACATGAGATTTTCCCAACAGTGTAACGATTTCGATTATAGAGTTGCAAGTCCTCAAGATCCTTATTGGTGACAAATTATACGTTTTGCCAAGAGCAGCTCGTTGGTTGCTTGGTTGAAGTGGCGAGTTTAACAGCTCCAATTAGCACTTATGCGTGCCGTTTTAAAACCACTACTCGCAATTTAACCTGAATAGAAGTTCGTTATTTATCTCAAACCCAGCATGTGCAGTTCAGGAACTTAAGAATCTGCAGTGGCTTAATTTCATTTTGGTCTGTTAAAACGAAGAACCAGGGTTTGCATAGAAACCTGATTCTAGCCCTACATAGTGCTGGGCAATCGCAGAGCAGATCGCTCCACCGTTTCTTCTCCACTACAGGAAAAGATTTGGGTGTTAAGCTCGTTTGTAACCAGATCCACTGAAATTTATAGTTCATAATCTGTCCTGCCGAATTTTGTATTGGAAACTTAACGTTCAGGTGATGTTTGCGTTACCTAACCCTTTCGGGGCCGTAAGCCTATATTTATACTAAATATACTCGATGAAAAATAAACCTTCGCCTATTTCGAGGTTGGTAAAAATCCTGATTTTTCTTAAAGAAAAGATAAGAAAAAAAATATTTTTTTCAACACAATTTGCTGAATTTCCCTTGTGCAGACTCAAATGTTACTCCCAGTTTTGAGCACGGATCTACCAGTTACCGCAACAAGAGCGTAGTGCGAAGACCACTAAGAAAACCAAGTCATAAACCAGTTTTTCCTCATACATATACATAAGTAAATTTTGAAAGTTTAATAAAATATACAACACATTTGAAGTGTAGCGGCATGCCCACAGTGTGTCACTTATTACTGTTAGTTGTTGACACCTTTGATCCGTTTTATTTGAGTAACTTGAATTATTTTCATCATTGAAATTTATTCGCCATTTTCTTCGCAATTCCATTTATAGCCGCAAAATTTAAATTTACAAAAATACAAACGCTCCTCCAAAGAGCCTTTGTGCGTCAGTAATTTACATAATTTTTTTTTCTCTAATTGCTTTTACCCTTTCGCCATTTGTTTTTTGCAGTATGCCTTTTCACTGACATATAGTACATATATGAAGATACCACTTGAGCTGCGACGCGTCGCGCTATGACGTGCATTACAGAATTTAGTTACACTTTAAAGTGATTATGCCTAAAAATATGCATCACACATTTAGTAAGTGGGCAAGTACGCGTGACAAACATATGCATACATACATACATACTAGAGGGCTGCATGAACTCATTCAAACTTCTAGCCAAACAGAGTACAGCAGATTTGAATATTTTACTTATTTTACTCATAGTTTGGAATTTTGTACGTTATGAATATACATTTTGTTTTAAATTTTCTACCTTCAAATTGAAGAATGTGAATGAATAATGGAAAACATTCAAATCATTCAAACTCATTTCGGTAAAAGTTTTTTTCTTCAAACAAATGTGTTCGTATTGTAATGGGAGCGCAGCGATTCATAAATGCATATATGTATGTATATGTTTGTACATACACTGCCGGAACAAAGAATGGGCAAAGCAAATTTTTCACAATATATGCAACAATTTTTATTTTAGTATTTTTCGGCCAATTTCATGTAAAAATATGGTTCATCTACAATAAAAAACATGAAAATATAATTCCTTAACTTTCTGCAAATTCGCGGAAATTCAGCAAATTTTCATGCAAATATTCAAGTTTTTAATCAGATTTTTTAGAATTATTTTGAGTATGCAGATTTGTAGCCCAATCTATATTTTTATCACAAATTACAGGCTTTCAGTAGCTAGGAATTACCGTTGATTTTTGTCAGTTTTTTCACGCATTCTCTTCCATACAAAAAATTTATTTCGAAAATACTTTATATGGAAAAAATGCTAAACACCTTAAACAAAAAAAATTTTCGAAAATCAATACAATTTTTGGAAAATTACAAACATGCATTTTTTTAACAGAATTTAATGGGCTGCAAAACTGCATACTCCAAAAAAATTCTAAAAAATCTGATTAAAAATTTGAAAATTTGCTGAATTTTCGCGAGCTTTGAACAAAGTTTAGGAATTATATTTTTATGGTTTTTATTGTTGAATTAGCCATATTTTTATACAAAATTGGCGGAAAAATATTAGAATAGAAATTGTTGCATATAAATATTGTGAAAAATCTGCTGTGCCAATACTTTGTTCGGGCAGTGTTGCGCATAAAAAAAATATTTTGGATATTCATACAAAAAAATTGTCATTTATTTCCACTCAATTTATTTTCACTTTGTTTGAATATTGTAATGTCTACACTTACATATGTATATCAGAAGAGGTATAGGGAATAGGTATAGGGGGGAAAAAAAAAAATCAAACCAAAATCATTCATTCGTTTTGTATATGAATAATTCATAAGCCGTTTGAGTGGATTCATGCAGCCCTCTAATAATACATGTAATATCAAAATGAGAAAAGAGACGCTGAGCGCACTGCAAAGTAACAAACGAGACTACTAACTATGTACGAGAATGAATCCAGCAACAATAAAGCAAAGGCGCTGCAATTAAAAAAAGAAAAAAAGCAAGAAAAAAACAACAAACAGCAGCCTCGGCAGCGAAATTCATTACATCAAATGACAAGCAACAAGAGGACACTCACAGAGGAACTAAAAAACCAAAAAAATAGCTTCAAACATTAACTGAAATAACTGCAAATGGCAGCACTGCCGACGGCAATGCCACGTAAAAGCCATGCTGTGCTGCATTGCCCCTAAAGCAACGCCAAACAACGTCGTCGTCGTCGTCGTCAAGCGCCGGATATGTGTTGCTTTGAGCGGCGCTTGCAAATTTGACCCATTTTGAAATTGGAATATTTTCATACTCGCTTTTGCTTAACACATTTTTTCGCTTATTTTTTAGTTTTTGTTCTTTTTTTTGTGGGGTCGCACATTATGCACTTTTGCTCCTCGAATTGCACTTGAAGGACGAAACGATGTTCAATATTATTCAAGTCATCATGGTGAGTGTGTCACATACATACATATGTACATACATGTAGGCGCATATGAGTGTATATGATAGATACGGACACGTGTGCAGTAGTGTTGCAACTGTTTGTATGTTTGTATGTTTGCATGTGCGTTGTTAGTTATGCATATGACATGCATAAAGTATAGTTCTGCATAATGAATAGTTAATGTGTGGCATCCCCTACACACACACACACACACACACACACACACACACACATACGCGCATACACAAAAATGCACCAACTCACACACCAGCAAAGTAATTTTCGCAGCATGCGCTCGCATGTGCACATTATTGCTGCCTTCTGCTGATTGTACCCGCTGCCCGCGCATATAATTAAGAACCCCGACTTAATGCTGCTCAACACAAACGTTGCGGCTGTGACTTTTTTTGCGTTGATTTGGTAACATGTATCTACCGATTTCTTTTTTTTAAACGAAATTCAATAGCGCTACTGAATTATTAATGTCAAGCAATAATTCATAAATTGCCATTTTTGGCAAGCTGGCACCATTAAATTAGATGTTTTTTTTTTGATTTCATAATGCTTTACTCCACTTTCAATCACCTCATTAACAGACCCGTACGCTTCATTTTTCCGTTCGTTGCTTCTCGTTGTTGTTGTTGTTTAATTTTTTTTGTACTTCTTGACAATCTTTAACGACCGACCATTCGACACCATTAACGCCACTACCACTAACCACTCCGATCCGATTACGAATTTCAGCTTCACAGTTGCAGACGAAAATTAATTTCACTTTTCGCAAACGCTTTCATCGCGCCGCTCCCGCCTTTGTCCCCAAAATCCCAATTCACTTTCACGGTCCGTCTGCTACTGCGACTGCTTCTTCTTCTTCGTTTTCCTATTCTTGTCGCATCCACTGCTCTTGCATGTGCACGTTTGTGTGCGTATGTGTTGGTTGCTTATATCAATTCACAGTCAACGCGCGTTAATCCGTTCAAACACACGAGCTCTCGTACACAGCCAACAAACGAATGCCGATGAACTCAGAAGAGCGTTTGTCATAAGGCTCTGGGCTGTTTGCCTCGAATCCTCGTAAATCTGATTAAAGCATTTGATGAGTACGGCAGCAAGGAATGCAGAGTTGTTAAATGCAGCTAGAACATCTAGAAGAATACTTGGTGGTTGGCGAGGAGTGTGGTGCTGTTGAGAGGTTGCGCGGATGCTGTGTCCACTGAGAGGATGTTCATTTGTTGGATGCTGCGCACTGATGGTATTGAGTGTAGTGGAAAATGAGGTTAATTTCCGGTAATGGCGCCATCTGTTTGTGAGACAAATTCTGAAGATGTGAGAAACTGGTTATGAAAAGCTGGTTGAAAACTGTATATTAAGCCATTATTAAGCCATGAAAACCACTAGAAAGGATTTTTCTGTAGATGGAGAAAGTTTGCACTGTTTCAAAATTGGTTGAAAAGTACGGCCAAAATACATACGACTTAAGGTAACTGAAAGGGTATGAGATTTTATTGAAAATTTTCGATAAGAATCGAAATAAATTTAGTCATCGAAATTTATCAAGTTACCCAAATTCATCGAAGTTTATAGTTATCGAAGTTTATCCATCTATCCATGTTCGTTGAATTATAGCAACGCATCCAATTATTCAAATTGATCAACGATTGTCGAAATTTATAGACACAGAAAATTAGTTGTCGAAATTTCCGAATAGTTATCGAGTTATAAAAACTCATGGGATTATTGAAATTTCCAAATTTAATGAATTTTATCAAGTTATCGATATTATTGAACTATCGTCATTTATAGAGTTATCGAAATTTGTTGAGTTATAGCAATGGATCGATTTCTTTCAACTTATCGAATTATCGATATTTATTGATTTACTGAAATTTGTCAATCGGTCGAATCGAAGTTTTCGGATTTTTCAAAATATTTCGAGTTATCGGAATTTTAAGGTTATATAAGACCATCGAGTTATCACAGCTTATTTTAATTTACCAGAGTGTAAAGAGTGAACTAAATTCATCGATAGCTTTTGAAAAATATGGAGCTATCAGAATTAACCGAATTATGGAAATTACTTGGATACCTCTACCGAAGTTTATAGAGTTATCAATTTATATTAGGATGTACACATTTTGGGCACATTTTTTGAAATTTTTCGAAAATGATCGAAATTAGTCTAGTTATCGAATTTTATTGAGCTATCGGATTTTAGTGTTTTTGAAATTCATTTTGTTATCGGTGTGTTTCAAATTATCGAAATATAGCGACAAAATGAAATGTATCGGGTAATACCAAATCCTGCGAATGAACTCCAAAGACCTTCATATAAACAATTGTAGTCACGTAGGAGAAAAAACGGTCGAATTTCGACTTCTTAGGACCGATTAGCCAAAAAATGCATGAATGGCATTCATATTTCCAGGGTATATTAAGATCGCTGATTCCGTATGAATCATCTACTTGTTTAGCCATAATTAATTTGTACCAAAAAACTTGGGACTCAATGTTTATCATAAGCCCCGGCAAACATTTTGCTTGAAACTTTACAAACGATACTCATACGACCCGGCCCTTTTATCATCATGCTTTCAAAGCCGTATCTGTCAGCTGAATTGGATCAGAACATTGAAATTTTGTTAAAAAGTTATCCAGACTTTTAATAAATAGTTGCCGTGTGCTTCTTCAAAAGGTTTTAATAGCTCAGCAAAAGATTCCATGATTTTCCATTCCTCTGGCAAAAATTGGGCTCATGTCATTGTCAAAGATTCAAATGCATCATATAGTTGCAATATTTCTGTGGGACGACTTGCGCAACATTTGCGAATTGGAATGCGAGTGCGAATATCCGCAGCATTCCTCGTAACGCTTATAATTTCATCTTAGTCGAACACTAAATAAGGATTTTCCGAATATTTCGACTCCATCGCCAACTAGCGGATCCAATTTTTGTAAACGTTTTTCTAATCGCACCTGCATTGTACGCTTTTAATTACATCAAAATCGGACGCTAAATACAGATTTTATGAATATCTCGACTCTGGCGCCACCTAGCGGATTAATTTTCCGCAAAACTATTACTCGTCCCAGTATACTTCTCTAATTTGATCAAAATGCGATCATGCTCAACCTAGGTCTAGGGATTAAACTTTTACAATTTGGTTAAAATCCGTTTGTTGGCTTTTGAGCCAATATATGACTCGCAGTTTGTTGGTTGCAAGACCAGACCTTTACAGCAAATCAAATTATGAAGAATACCCTCCTCATCCACACCTAATTCAAAGTCCTTCGGATAGCCAAAATTGTTTTTAACTACGAAATAAGGGTTTGAGCAAGCGAATCTGCTTTCACTTTACCTTTTTAATCTGATAACCTGCTGGAAATGTTAACCGCCACCTGCTCTACCCTTGGCGTATGCACATAAAATTCCCGTTGGTCGTTAGCATGGCTCTCAAACTCACAAAATATGAATGATATCGCTGAAACCTAATAAAAATTAAGTATGGACTTATTTATTATGGAAAATAATTACTTTTTGAAAGCACTTAGTTAATCATTATAGCCAAATAACGAGCTTTAATATTTCCGGATTTTCTGGAATAGCGACACGGTTACGAATATTTGCATCCTGGTTTGGTCCTTAATAGCGCGCGCATAAACAATTCCAAACTGAGGCGAAAGGGTGACAAAACATTACAAAATAATATTTGCAGAAATTCAAAATTAAAGGGAACGAGTGTGCCAATCGATGGTATGGGAACAGATGTTTGTTTATTCTCTATTCACGTACATATACATACATATTTTTTATATATTTATGTATTTACATGTATCAAGGTAAATATCTGCTAATCAGCAAACACTTTAAAGTAAACGCATTACTTTGTTGATGAAGTCAGGGGTTGTGCAAACGCCGCACACTTTGGGGTTGTTTATTCTAAAATTACGAGTGCATATATACTGTTTTGTAAATAAAAATTCAGCATAATAATCAAGCATATTTTTATTTTACATTTAACAATCAAAAATGTAGCTATTTACGCATGCAGCGGAGCAGGTGTGCATCGATTTACATAAATTACAAAAGTAAATATTTAAATAGAGATTTTGATAAGCGATTATACATACACTTGTTTGTCGTTAATCACATATGCATGTACATATGTATGCAGTTGAGATTTTTGACTTCCATGTATTTATCAAAAATCAAATAAGTTTTGCAAGTGAGAACGAAATTCTTAAGTAATCATATCGAGTAGGTTATGCTTTAGGGAGAAATGGATTAGGCAAAAAGTTGCATTTATGTTGAAAATTTTATTTTTCACTCCAACCGAGTTTTTAAAAGGATATATGTCGATTGTGGCAGCCTGTTAAAAAAAAAGAAATGACTATTCCTTAATGAAAATGTTGCGCCAGTGTCGGAAGCAGTGGTGGCCTATAAATTTCTACTTTTCAAATTCGAGACGACCGTTTCGGTAAACTGACAGGTATAAGCAGCCATACAAGCATCAATAAATAGGTATTCATGCAGATTCTGCAATTCACTTCCGAGTGAATTTTAACCCCATTCAATTCGAATACAAACCAGTGATGGAAAAGTAGGTGCAATTGTACTTTTTCAGCCATTTTATAATTTGAAAGTACATTGGGTACATATATAGCATTTTCGGTTTATTTTCAACTGAGCCATATAAGTTCTCCTAGAATCTTTTTTCTTCCTTGTATTTATTTTAACCTAGTGCAGAGAAATCCATCTGGTATTGGATTTGCATTAAATTTTGCACACAGATAGTTTATTACCTAGACTGAAAAATAGGTTACTTTTTTAGAGTTGCCACGTGTTAAAAAAGAAAAATTTAATTAATAATCACGTATATTGAAAAATTGGCTATTTTTTTGGAGTTGCCACCTATTAAAAAGTTTAATTTAATAAATAATCATGCGGAAACGGCTGAACGGATTTGCATTAAGTTTTGCACACAGACGGTTTATGATCTGGATTGAAAAAATGGGCTACTTCCTTAACCAATTTCCGGATCGGAACCAGATTTGACGGAGTTCCCTGATATGTATACATGAGAAATCAATCTCATACTCATGTAGAAAAATGAGAGTTATTGGACGAGGGGGCGTGGCGAATCGTACGAAAATTTATTTTTTATGCTGCATAACTCCGGAGGTATTTCTGCAGAGGACTGGAACTTGGCACCGATGTATGTATATAAAATTTATTCCATACACATGGAGAAAAATTGGGGTTATTCGAAAAGGGGTTGTGGTTTCTTCCTTACAAATCTACTATTTTATACTGCATGTCTAGAGCTGTTCATGGTAGAGTACTAAGACTAGGTATTGGGATATATAAAATCAATTCCATGCTCATGGAAGAAAATTAGGGTTATAAGAAAAGGGCGTGGAACTTCCCGTAAAAATTGCCATTTTCTTAACACATGTCCCTGAAATTGTTTGTGGAAGTATATTGGAACTTGGTATGAAGTTAGGTATATAAAATTTATCAATTTCTCATGGAAAAAATGTGAATTATTATATATATTATATCTTTCATAATAGATATATTATATCTCTGAAAGGATAGAAAACCTGTTGAACTATTTTAAATTTTTTATGGAGATTTATTTTATCAGTACCGTACTGACAGACAAAATTTCCGTTCATGCAGAAGGGAGAGCCGGCATCTGCCGTAAAATCTAAAAATCGCATGATGCATACATCTGGAGGCATTTAGCTACAGTACTGCGGAGGGTTTTTTTTATCTGATAAGGAGAACGTTCACGTACGTCATAATCCGAAAAATGTGTTTTTACGTGACGAGTAATACGAAATCGTATGTGACGATTCGACCAAGGCTACTGAATTGGAGTTAAACTTAGAGGAATTGATATCCTTCGTATGCTTAACATGCAGACGAGATTTTTTCATTTCCTTAAGGGGCCTAAATGCCTTAACTCGCTTAAAAAATAGATAGCTATAAAAAATGGACACAGAAATAAAACATAACATCATTAAATTATTACTCATA